CTTTCAGCTTTTATAAAATAACGAAGGTCTGGCCGTCATGGGCTCTTAGGCTAAAAAGCAAATTGTACTATATTGACTTCCCGAATACAAGTATATAGTAACCGAGACCGAGCACTTATATAGAAAACTTTAAAATAAGGAACTTAAAACTACGATTAACTATTTGCATGAGCTCCAAATAGATAACACTATATACATATAATCTATATTCTTATGTATAATATGTACTATAATACTGATTCGCATCGAATCGGTAACAGTAACTATAAAATCTTCGTACCGGATTTCAAAAGCGTATCATCAGAGTAGAAAATAAAATCGTACGCAGAATATCTAGATATTAAGGTGGCCCTAGTCAATAGCACGAACTAAGTGGTGGGCGGGATAAAACTGCATGCTATCTCAGCCATCACGTGCGAAAGGGATAGACGCTGTAATGAGCAGTAAGAAGCTAGTGCGCACACGCACTCCTGAGTGACTCAAAGCGGCGGCGTCATCGCGTACCTACCTATGCGATTCATTTTTGAATAATAACATAAACACGGCAATTGTGAGCGCCGTGGCGCAGTGGCTGCGCTGGGGGCCGCGGGTTCGAATCCCGCACGGAACAAATATTTGTATGGCCTACAAATAATTTTTCCGGGTCTGGAAGTTTGTCCTTGTGCAATTTATGTTTGTAAACTGCCTCCACGATACTGGAGAAAATCCTACCGTGGGGGTAACGTATTTTAAAAAGAGAAAGGAGAGAGAAAACAAATTGGTGTTATTATAACTTAGGATCTGCTGTGTGAAACGTAATTACTAATTATTATTTACTACGAGTATGAACCTAATTTATGTAGTTGTTATTATGAAAGTTCTTATGTGAACTTAAGTAGAGGTTGTTATTGTATAATAATTTCATTGATATGTTTTTACCTACTTTTTAACTGATTTCGAAAAAAGAAGGTGGTTCTCAATTCGTTGGTTTTTGTTTATGTATGTTCTATTCCCCGATTTGTCGAAGATGCCTGAACCTATTTGGAATATTATAAAATTATAACAGAAATACACGTTCTGTGAAAATTACAACCGTCTACCTATTACGGATCACGAGATACAGCCCGCTGACAGACAGACACACGGACAGCGGAGGCTCCGTAATAGGGCCTTGCTGGTTATCCTTCGGGTACGGAATCCTAAAAAGTACTTAGTTGTCCACTCACATCTGTATGATTCTTTCTTCAAAGGACCATATTAGCCTGGTTCTCGTATGACATGACCAATGTAATACCTGGACTGACCTCTCTGAGTTTGTTTCGGCAGATCGGGTGCTTCTTCTCAGTTTCATGTTTTTGTTGTGTTAAAGTGTTTTAAAAAAAAACTTACAAAACAAACTTTATTTATCATTAACTGTCCTTCTTAGATTCTTATGTACTTACATAAATTACATTAGGTATATTAGGATATGAGATTCCTATACGTAAGCACGATTATCGAAAATCTAAAATTTACCTCCTATTATAATTTAAGTTAATAGATAATTTTAAGATTTTCGATAATCGTGCTTATCTATGAGATGTTTTCGTTAGTTAGCAAATTAAAGTAGTTAAGTACCTAATGTACTACCTGTATCAAAAGTTCATTATTATGTACCTACCTGTTTTCAATTTTAACTAAATGTGCTTCAACAAACTTACGGGTACATTTTAGCAGCTATATTCATCCCGGCTTCAGCAGTGGACACGAACAAAAGGAAGCAATTTTTCTAAATAAAGATGTAGATAATGTGTGGGTGCGCGCTGCGCCCGTGAAAATAATTTGTAGCGAAAGGCAAGATGATTTACAACAAAAAGGAGCGCGCGAAATTTTATAAACAGACATTTGGGAGTCTGGATGTCATGAAAAATCTATTAAATGTATCTGTTCAAAATAAAATTATTTGCATTTTGAACAACTAATCTATCCCTGTATGGTAACTGTTTTGCAATTTTCGTTCTTCTTATGGTATTTATTTCCGCCCAAAGATGTGTTAAAACTAGTGTTGAAATTTGGAATTTTCGACGCCTATAACTTTTAAACATACTCTTTTTTACTTTTTTGTATCCATACAGGGCTAGATAATGATGAGACAAATTGTCAATCATTTTTTATTTTGAACGTACACCATCAAACAGTGGAGTAGTCGCCAGACTACGTTTGTATGGAAGAATAAGCGACTAGTGTACTCTTAAATATACAACATGTAACATAATTAATGCACTTTGAGAAAGTAGTTTGTTCAGAATCGTTTACTGAATCGATTCCTATCATTTTTAATATAGGTAATTTTTTATCCCAAAAATAATTAAAACCACGTAAATTACAGTCACACTAAATCTGTACAGTCAAAATGAAATGAAATGGACCGTAACTTAAGGCAATAAGACTTTTAAGAGTGCAGTTTTATTTGTATTATTACTAATTCTGTCATTTAATAAAAATAAAGAAAAATGAACTTTATTTCAAGCACGTTAAAGTCTTTGCGTTCGTGTTTCTTTTCATTCGTTTGTATTGTGACCACAACATTCTCCCGGAATTAGTATAACTAATTTGATAAATAATCGGTGCATAAAAATGTTTAACTAAAAATTCAGTGTATGTATTATGATTATAACATTATATACTAATTGGGGTGTCTGAGGGTGTGCGTTAATTATGTTAAATATTGTATAGTTTTGATATCAGATATTGAAACTCGAAATCTGATATAGATACTATTCTCAGAAAACTCAATAGAATAGAATAATTTTTATTCAATATAGATTATAAGTAATTCTTATTCAAAGTCAATTTTCGAAATACGACCCAGGCCTACTGAAAAACTGCAGCTCACCAGCATTGCACAGCATTGCCGTGCAGCTTTTGCTAAGCAGCGGTTTCCAGCACCAGCTGCTGGTGTTACCATTACTTACAACCATTTCATTTGTTTCAATGTCAGGGTAAAGTCGCCATTAATATAAAAAGTTGATTTTTTTTTGTTTCAAATTGGTACATAGTACATGTTATATGTGTATACGTGGTTTTTATTTTTTTTTCTCAATAACATCGATTTTTCTATAGGATAAAGGTGACAAACGAACACACAGTCGACCTGATGGTATGTGTATGTGGATGCTGTGGCCCATGCAGATGCGTTGTCACCCTTGAGGACTAAGATGGAATGACTCAATTCCAGTGAAGCGGGTCTCCGGTTCTCTACACTCACCACACGAAACACAGCAGCATTAAGCTGCTATTTTACGCTGATATTCTGTGAGAGCGTGGTCCTTCCCCGGTCGAGCCGATAAATTCATGCTACAACATTATGAATAATTTGTTCCTAGCTTTGTGCTTTGATTATTAAACCAAAGGAGACGGCATCGTAAGGAATACCCCTCTGTCAAAGGTACAAGAGTCCAACTCATACCCAATAAATAAAACTAGTTGCTCCGCGTCGTGCGCTATTACGCAAGTGATCGTGCCAGTCAATTGAGCTCCGACAAAAATGTATTTTCATTCAAAAACCAATAAAAACCGTCATATCTATAAAAGGACAACGTAACTTTTCATCTATGAATACTCTTAGCATAATGTTATCGTTGAAACTCGTATTTTCTGAATATTTTCGTAAAATACCAAGTGTGGCCAGCATAGTTCATGAAGTGAAAAATAAGCGATTTTAAAATAAATATAATTAACTACACAAAATAAATATATTAACAAAAATTATTTCGTATCAACTAAATCAGTTTGTGATGAATAATAATCATTACATTAAGATGTGTAGTGGTTTTTGTCAAATGATTTAAATATTTAGCGCAATCTCAACACGATTCTGAATATAAGTATTATAATTTAATATAATTGATAACTAGTCTTTATTAATATTACACAAAATAATGGCCGAATAAGTAGATTCGAAACTTGCAACTTCGTGGCAAATGTATGTAACTTCTTAGCAAATGTATGCAGTCTTGTGAAATGGGTATCACTGCAACCGAAAGTGCTGCAATGTAGTGATGTACGACACAACTTTAGCTATCGATAAGTTAATTAACCCATTCGGGTTTGCCTGCCGAACAGGTTTGTTATGGCAGTTAAGGTGATGAATTTTTTGCTTTTGTTAATGGCGTTGTATAGAATCGCTGACTGTTTTACATATTCCCTCCTGGTTAAAACAGTTATAACAGCGACAGCTGTAGCCACTACGTTTTTTCTTCTTTTGTCTACAATACTACGGTTAAACTTTATAACTTTATGTATTTTTAGAACTGAATATAAGATGTACGGTTCCATAACATAAAAGTTTTATCATTTATTCATTCTAGCCAAAATCTACTGCTGAACATAGCCCTCTCCCATAGATTAAACCTTAAGGATTTTCCTAATATATTTTTACACTGCCATTATACGGGACAGTAGAGTTTTATCAGTCATACTAAGGAACTATTTCTCTATCGACAAAAAACATGAATTTTAAAAATGAAACGTAAAGTTTCAAGAGGTGGTGCAATTTTTTAAGAAATACTTTTATTGACAACAATGAAATAAAACTATCAAAATGAACAAAGATTCTTGCAATCTGAAATATCTCTGAATCTGAATATTATTTCTTTGTTTATAAATATCTACATTATCTATATGTCATGCAGGAAAAGAAATAGAAAAAAGAATGAGAAAGGATTTCCAAAAATTTGATCAAGTTATTATTATTATTAGAAAAGCCTGCATAATGAGAGAAAGTATGTAAGTGGCTTAACCAATTATTATGAAACTTCACGAACAGATAGAGATGCCGGAAATTGTTTAAGCTATATTTTTAAATCTTTAGCTTTAATCTTAAATCTAAATATCGCCACACTAATAGTTAAGCAGATGAAGCCGGAGCGGGTCGATATCTTATAAATAAAACGAATATTTGATAAAAATATAATAAGTAACAATTTTAATAATTCAGACTTCATTTTATGATTGTAAATAATTGTGTGACAAATAATTCACTAAAGTTTTACGTTAGTCATTCCCACATTAAAATCATCACAATCATCAGAAACATCAAGATATATTTTATCATTTTCAGGTACTTGGATGTTTAAATCACCAGATAAAGATTGACAAATTAAATTCACACCATTATTATTTATTACTGAATGTGTTTTCTTATGCTTTTGTAAACAATGTTGCGTTTTAAACTTGCAATGGCAGATATCACATTCCAAAGTTGCATTTAAATGTTGACTTTTTATATGTTCTGCACGACGAGACGCTGACAAAAACCTACTTTCACAATGTTCACATTTATAGGGCTTTTCACCTGTATGAGTACGGGTGTGATATAATAGCGACTCTTTTGTAACAAATTTCCCCCCACAGATATCACAATGAAAGTTCTTCTCCTGTGTATGCTTCACTATATGCGCTTTCAATCTACTTTGTGCCCAAAACTTCTTTTTGCACCATTTGCACTCATGACTTTTGTAATTTCCATGTTCGTGTTGTATGTGAACCCTTAATGAGACTTTCTGGGTATACTTTTTATTACAATAATCACATGTAAACTTTGCTTCTGCAGGATTTGCTCTAGTTCTCTGCCCACATACATTTAGATCAATGTGTTTTTTGAATGATGTGTGACTTTTATATATTCTGCCACAGTCCTGACATACTAGTTTGAGTCCTTCATGAGCAATTTCATGCATTCTCAGAGTGTGCCTGTTGTGAAATGTTTTCCCACATTCACTACACACTATTGTACAGTGACTTTCTTTTTTATGGGCATCTAAAATTGACTGTGATCCAAATTTTCTATGACAAACAGAACATTTGAATGCTTTTGGTGCATGAACCCTAATATAGTGATTTCTTAAGTTAGATAGAGAGGGAAAATCCTTCAGGCAATCTTTGCATTTAAAATTGTTTCTGTCATTTCTGTCATACAACATTTCACTGGTAGGTATTGGTACAGGAAGAGTGTTTTCTCTTGATTTAAGCCTTTTTCCTTTTTTTCGAAAATGTGTGATGCTTTTATCTTCCTTAATGTCTTGTGAAAATATCTCTACTTCAATTTTTGGCTTTGTTTGTTCTGTATGAATCATGGACTGGAATCTTTGCAAGCCAGCTGCTTGAGATAACTTGCTAAGATGTTTAGAATCGTAAAACTGTTTACTGGTATAATTATCTATATCTAAGGATATAAACAAGCTTTGGCATTCACTTATTTCCTGTGTAGTGTTTTCAAAACAATTTGAAAGAACTTCTAATGTGCTGCATAGTTGCTCTGAGTTTTCTTTGACGTTTTTAATGAATGTATAGCAGTTAATTGCTGACTTCATGCATTGTTCACAAATAGTATTAAATGTGGACACATTACTGTAGGTCTGAAAATAAAATGTAAAATGTGTTAAGTTTTCAAAGATAAAATAACTATATTTGTTTTCATAACAAAATTAAACATGAGTTTTAGCCCATTGATGTAAATATTACACAATTTTTTGTACAAGCTAGGTTTAAATCTTTTTTTAACTAGTGGTTGACCACTCTCTCACCTAATGGTAACAGGTGATACATACTAGGATGGTAAAGCACACTGACTTAGCTTTACATGTTCACTAACCCATAACACCAACCTATATGAATAATATTAGCTGCTACTTCAAACTCAGGACTCTAAATCTTTATAAGAGTATAGTCCCCCATAAGCGGATAATTGATAGAATTTACTCAAAAATTCTTATCTTACAAGCCAAGTACGATAGGATCCCAAAACAATTTGTATTCGATAAGAAGTATAAGATACAATTAAATTAAACTGACCGGCCGGAGGAATTTAAAAAAAACTTTGAGTTTTATTGGATGGTTCTAAGACAAATGAAGGTGTAGGATCTGGAACTTTCTCTAAAGACCTTAATATCCACACTGCTGGGTACCCATAACACAGTCTTCCAGGCTAAATGTATGGGTATCATCCAAGCGGCCATAGCAATAAATGCTAGGAAGGTAAAAGACTTCTCCATCAGAATACTGACCAACAGTATGGCAGTACTACAAGCTTTCAGTTGTAATGTGGCGAACCTGGGACTAATTTATGAATGCCATCAACGATTAAATGAGGTATGTAAGCACAACAATGTGACTCTGCAATGGATTAAGGGACACAGTGGATCTAGAGGCAACGATGCAGCAGATGAAGGGCCGGACTATAGGGCTGGAACCAATAATACCAATCCCCTTTGGCTATGTTTGTTCACTGGTATGTAGAAACTTCAATACTTTACACGCTCAACTTTGGAAACATTTTGTAGATTGTAGACAAGCTAGGGAGGCCCTGCCTGAAATAAACAGTCACCTAACTAAGGTTCTAATGAAAATAAAAGTGCCATCACAGGACATAGCTCTTTTAACAAACATTTGTTTACCATAGGTGTTACAGATAGCCTCCTGTGCAGGGCATGCATGGGGTAGGAAGAAACAGCGGCTCACAAATTACTGACATTTCCGAAGGTTGCTTCATACAGGGCTAAACATCTTGGCATGCCGGGATCGTTCCCCGTAGTTGCTTGCAACATCAAAGGACAGTTGAACTTCTTCGGCGAGATTTCATGGCTCGAATAATCACATTATTCCTGCCCACAAAATACGCGCTTAGACGTGGAGTTGCGGAAAACAGCCCGTTGTAAACTGAACTAAACTAAACTATCACTGAGATTGCATCCGGACATTTCTGTTTATCATTAAATCAGAGAATGATTGATAATGTAAGTTCCAAATTAATTCAAAATTTTTTGAATTGGATAAAAAGTGAAAGGTGTAAGCTAGCCTCAAAAACTTATTCAGCTCTGAAAATTAAGGGCTATGCCAATCCTACTCATATATAACTTACATGTCATATGACATACATGTTGGCTAAGTCCTACACAAACATGTCACTTTGTAACCCTTCTTTTTATAATTTTCCACCACTTCAACCTAATAATGTTGAGGACTCCAAAACATTTTGTATAAATAAAAGATGGGTACAGTAGATTAATGTTCTTAGAAGTAAATAGAAAGTCTTATAGCATAATAATGGTATAAGACCCCCAATTATCTTTAGTTGATAGCTCTTAAACTTAAATTTGTGTGAAAATGCTAATGTTTAGATAGTTCTAAGTACAAGAACGTTATATTCGTAATTCCTACAGTCTTAAAAGAAAATATTGTATTTACACTTTACCTTGTTCCCAAGCAAGGAAGCCAATATTTCTGACAATTTTATATAGACCTCCGAGAGCTTAATTTTTAATATTACTTCTTCATGAATATTAAAAGGGTTTTGTCTTACTGATTCGAAGCACAAACAACAGAATGCGTATTTTCTAGTAAGTATATGATATAAAGCATTATTAATAGATGACATAACAAAATTCGTGGTATTCGCCTGACTTTGATATCTGTTTAGAATTTGGATTAAGGATGAATTTTCACATACAAAACACCCCAAATGATAACACCAATATAATGGGTATGTTCGTTCCGAAATACAACGCAGTGTACTGTCTTCTGTATATACTTAGGGTTGTTCCGAAATACAACGCAGTGTACTGTCCAATGCAAATGACGTCATGAATCGACGCTATACTGGTGATTCGTTCCAAAACATTGGCCAGTGTATGACGTCATACTTTTGCGCCATTTGGAAAAGTGTTGGCGATTATTTTGTCTTTTTGTGCTCCAAAAATCATTATATCCTCCTAATGGATATACCATCAATTATTCTATAATTTTTTGTATTTGAATAAATAGAAACAAATTCTGGCATCCTTCATTCGGCAAACACGCAATTAAAAATTGTTTTATTATGGCCGGATATCCGACACAATATGGCGGCGGCACGCTAGTACAATAAAGTGTCAAATGATACGTCATTTGCATTGGACAGTACACTGCGTTGTATTTCGGAACATACCCTTATTATACTATTTGGTACTGTCCAATGCAAATGACGTCATGAATCGACGCTATACTGGTGATTTGTTCCAAAACATTGGACAGTAAATAGACGTCATACTTTTGCGCCATTTAGCTTATTAAAATGTTGGCGATTAATTTTGTCATTTTGTGATCCAAACATCATTATATACTCCTAATGGATATACCAGCAATTATTCTATATTATTTTTGTATTTGAATAAAAAAATAGGATAAACAAATTCTGGCATGCTTCATTCAGCGCACGACACTCTATTAAAAATTGTTTTATTGTGGGATATCCGACGCAATATGGCGGCGGCACGCCAGTACAATATAGTGTCAATTGATGACGTCATTAGCATTTAACAGTGTACTGGGTTGTATTTCGGAACATACCCAATATATAATGTACTAGGGATGGGTCTAAAATTAATAAGCTGCTAAATTAACACTGCAAATTTTTTTTTATTGTCAACACCTGTTAAATAAGTTCTGAGATAGCTGTTAAATTTAGCAGTCACAACTCACAACAAAACCATAATGGTCGTGCTGGCTGGACAGTGCTACCATCCGCACCAAACACGGACGCCGGATATATATTTGTATCGCTTTATCCCAATACTGCAGGCCACAGGCAGACGCGACGGCTACAACAAAGATAAGAACACACGACACACGTGTTCCGTTTCCGTCTCTATTGAATTGTTTTCAACATAGCGATTTATTTAGCAACTACTCATTTTGTATTTAGTTTAGTGTTCAGTAACAGTTAGAATGTTAAGGTCGAGCGAGTTCATTTAATTAACTGCTAAGTGCTAACTGCTGAATTTGGAAATAGTCTATTATAATATTTAACTAGTGTTAAATAAAAACTGACTTTCGTTACGAAGGTTTACGCGAGTTTGTTATCTAGGTAGTAGGTAGTTAGTATTGTGAGTGAAAATTCCAATTGTTTGACTGTATGTTGTTTTGTTTGCGTTTGAAACAGAATACTTACAAATTGGAAGAAAACAACTAAAATAGATATACAACGCCAAAAAAAAGTGAAATATGGAACTTTTTTACGGATAGCGATACCGTAAAAAAATTGGTACGTGTAATTTGTGTAAAAAACTATTTCACACAAGAGCTCAGTTTCAAATTTAAAATCTCACATGAGGTTTAAGCATCGTACTATTAATATCCAACAGGCACAACAACAAAGTGCTTGTACATTATCTGAGTCTGAGTGTTCCGTTAGTTCTTAACAGACTGTTCCTATTACTGAAAATGCCCCCAGCTTCAAGTTCTTCGGGTACTAATGATGAGTTTTTGCCACCACCAGCAAAGCAGAGAAAAATTCAACCAAGTGTATCAACTTATACCGTAAAAAAATTGACTTTAAAAGAGAAACAACGACTCAATTATTATTTAATGCAGCTTTTCATACTTGACTTTCAACCATTTTCAATTGTAGAAGACGTTGGCTTTATCCAATACTCAAATGCTTTAAATTCGTCATACACGCTTCCATCTCGAAAATATCTATCAAATACACTTTTACCAACAATGTATGAACAGTGTAGAACAGAGGTGCAAGAAGTAATAAATAAAGAAGTCGAAACAATCTGCATTACGACTGACAATTGGACTTCGGCGAGAAATGATAGTTTTATGGCTGTTACTGGGCATTTTATAAATAAAAATTTTGATTTGCAATCGATTGTTTTGGACTGTGAAGTAATTTCGGGTCCTTCCAATAGTGAAAATACAACATCTCAGTTAAAAAGTATTACCGATTCTTGGGGTATTTCAGCTAAAATCAATTTAGCTGTTTCTGATAACGCGGCTTACATCAAGAAAGCCGTATCACAGGAGCTAGGGTGGAAACATTTCGGATATGCAGCACACACAATAAATTTGATAGTGCAAGAAGCGACGGAAAATCTGTACCCATCAAGTCTGTGATTAAACGTGTGAAGTTCATCGTCGCTTATTTCAAGTGAAGCACTAAAGCCACTCAAAAACTTGATGAGTTTCAAAAGCAAAATGGAGTAACACAGCCAAAACGACTGCTTCAAGAAGTCCCGACGAGGTGGAATTCCAAATTCTACATGCTCGAAAGGATCGTAGAAATTCAGGATTTCGTCAAGTCACAGTAGGTGAGAATTAGGGCTTCTGCGTCACTTGCTCTCGCTTCGCTCGAGCTACATGCCTCTGAAGACCCCAATTCTCTCCAGTAGAGGTACAAAATTTTTAGTTTAACCAAATTAAGTGACAAATTAAGTAAGACCAAGTGTACTTCCACTTCCAGTTGAGTTACTGAGCATTATATTCAGAGCGTATGTGAGATACTGCTGGTGTTGACGCATCTATATGATTAATTTCTAATAATACAACTTGTTTAGCCTAACTTCATTGTAGTTAGTGCTAATAAACGTTTTTTTTGGATAGTTATACCTAATATAGTACCATTGCCATTTTGGGTGTTACAAGCTTACCAAATTTAATGCCGGAGGACTGGTTACTTTGCAATGAAACTTGTAAAGCCCTGAAATGTTTTGAAGAAGCATCAAATTATCTGAGTGGTGAAAAGTATTTGACGGCCAGTCAACTATTAGTAATCTTAAAAGGCATAAAGAGAGTTCTCAGCGATATTTTAAGCTTGGATTCTTCCGGTTATCACTATATGCCAATAACATATGATTTTGTTCAAGCTTTGTTAGATTTAACTCATAGTCGTTTCGAAAATATAGAAAATAGTGACACGATTGGGGTAGCTACTTTTTTGGATCCCCGCTTTAAGTTACAGCCCTTTACATCTTCAAAGCAAGCAACTTTGAGGGAGAACATGATCAAACTTGTCGCACAAGAAATAAATCGAGAAGGACCATGTGAAAATATAGAAGTTAGCAAAAGTTCGTTTGATCCCACCTCAATATTTTACGACTGTGATGCTAGGGATGCTGTACCGCAATCAATTGAGTCACCAACTGCTCGTGCAATATAGGTATAGACAAATATTTGAATGAAAAAGTGATAAGTCGCAATAATTTACCGTTGAGCTGGTGGAAGCAGAACCAAGGCATTTTTTTTTCACATTTGGCTAAGTTGGTTCGAAACAAATGTAATGTACTTTGTACTTCTGTTTCTTGCGAAAGACTTTTTTCGCGAACTGGTTACGTAATTTTACAACGAAGAAACCGCCCTGGAGTCCGAAAAGTCAAACAATTATCATTTTTAAATGGAAATAAAAAATATATAAAATTTTAAGATATGTTATGTAACTAAGTGATAAGTAGATATAAGAAAAAAAAACATAAAAAAAAACAAGAAAAAGAAGAAAAAAAGATTATTATATGAAAATTACGAATACTAAAAAAAGGATATGAAAAAAAAAAGAAATCGTTGTAAATAAATTGATTCTCATTATAAATACGCCAACAGAAAAAGTTGGCAGTCCTAAGCCTGTGAAAAATACGAAGGAAATGAGGATTAATTATGTGTTAAAAATCTGTCTGTGCTTACAGTTGCTAAAAATAACGGCTAATTTTAACTGTTAATTATTTTTAGCATTTGCATTTAGCAGTGTTATTTTTTAACGTTTAAGTCCATCTCTATTAATGTACGATATACACTCTAGTGTATGTTCGATGATCATCGATTTTTTAACATCGATTTGCTACATATCAAACTTCGAAACATCGATGTCAATGAAAACATAATCGATAAATAAGAACTTGTGAACAATGAGAACTCGCGAAATCAATATCAACTAAATCTTGCATCTCCTATTAAAGGTTTATCTCCTATAAAACTTTGAAAAATATCATTATGGTATGTCAAATTTAACTGTCAAGTGTGAACTGTAATGTCATAGTTGTCACTGCTTTCGCTTTGTTATTCTGTGGTGTCGTTGTCGGTTGTCGCCTAATAACTAGAGGTCGGAATTACGGCCTGGCCACGGGGAACGGCAGCGCGAACGGCGAAGCGACAGGCGGGCGACAATTCGCGTGGCGTGATTTGAGGGCCACGGGCATTCAATTTTGCCGCCGCGACCAGATAAGCCGAGAGCGAAATGTCTTTATCAAAGTTATCTCGATATTGCTTAGAAAGTAATTATTTATTTGTAGCAGCCAGATTAATCAAACCTAAACGGGAATAAATAATATATACTCCGCTGCTACCATAACGCGGAAGGCGAGAATAAATAAAAACATTTTATTTCCTAATTATTCTTGGCTACTGAGATACTGCGGACTGTATATAGATAATTTGACGTTCTTATAAAGAAACAAGAAGCAGCCGCAAATATCATTCAGCGCCACACCGACTTCACACGCCGCTATCGTCACGTATCCGTCGACCAATGGTGAGCCGTTTCTTCAACGCCGCAGTTCGTTTCCTCTTGCTGTTCCGGAGCTGTATTCCACACCGCCGCCGCCCGCCGACTACGCGTGCGCACCGATCTGCATGTCTTATATAGCCCGGTCCAGCGACGTAGCTTCGTGAACAACAAACAAGTCTCACGCCGGGAAACGAAACGTAGATAATTGTATATTTTAAATAGTTTTCATTGGTCATAAAATAAGCAATATAATTGGCTAGGCGAAATATTAATTGTTACCATTGGCAAATCAATAGTGAGCCAGCCATATAAATATAGGCAAGGTTGATGCAAAGGATATTCCATTCCGAATCCCATTCGACAGTACATTCATAAACATAAACAGTAGTTTCATTTCTCCACCTTGAAGAAAACCACTCGGAGTCTGTTAATAGTGGACAGTTCGTCTCCACTATTACAGTGGTGACCCCGTACGAACACCGAGGGGGGAAGATCCGGTACGAACACCAAGAAGGAACACCCTGCGACGTACCACTACTATTGCACGAACACCGCGAAGGAAACCCGTACGAACACCGAGAAGGAAGACTTCAGTTTATATAAAATCAGTGTAATCAAGCCGTCATTATGGAGCAGGAGGCAAACACATATACATCAAACCCGGTAAAGGAACCAGAAATCGCCGGTATATCTCTATCGTTAAGAATACCACCGTTTTGGAGAGACAAACCACGACTTTGGTTCGTCAGTTTTGAAGCCGCAACGAATGGTTTAAAGAAGAGCCAAGCGCAATTAGCACAGATGGTGATAGCCCAACTTGAGAAACAAGACATCGAACAAATTGCGGACCTGTTGTACAACCCACCAGCAGTCGACCAGTATAATTCACTGAAGGATCGTCTGATCTCCGCATATGAAGAATCCGACAGTCGACAGCTACAAAAACTTCTATCAGAAATAGAACTTGGAGACCAGAAACCCACACAACTCCTACGCAAAATGCGTACTTTGGCGCGAGATAAAGTTCCGGATTCAACACTACGGCTAATGTGGGTAAACCACCTACCACCACATATTCGATCGGTAATAGCAGTCAGCGAAACATTCAGCACGCAGACGAAGCTCGACGAACTGGCACTCCTGGCGGACAAGATGATCGAAAACAGCAGTAGCTCACACATATCGATCATCGAAGGCACTTCAACAAAGGCCAATGATACCCAGTTTCTTCTCGAAGAAATTCGGAAGCTATCATTCGAAGTCGCCGCGCTCAAAGCTTCCCAGCATCATACCTTTTACCAGCAACAGTACAACCAGCGCAATCAGCAACACCGAAGATCACCTTTTCGTCGCAACCGCTCTGCAAGTAGAAGTCGAATAAGCTCAACATCAAGATCCCCTTACTGCTACTATCATCGACGTTTCGGGGTCGAGGCAAGAAAATGCACAGCACCGTGTACATTCAAAAATGAAAATACGAATACGGAAAACTAACTAGTACGCTCGATGCGACGGGATCCAGCGTAACAGCAAAGTCCTACCGTCTTTTCGTCACCGATAAAAAAAGCAAGCTTACTTTCCTTATCGACACCGGAGCAAATATCTCAGTGTTACCGCCGAAGCAAGGACAGAAGTTGAAGCCACTAGATTTTCAACTCTATGCAGCAAACAATACGGTTATTCCTACATATGGAGAAAAAACAATGGAACTTGATTTTAATCTACGCCGACCATTCAAATGGAGATTTATCGTCGCTAAAGTCAGCAAACCAATCATCGGTGCTGATTTTCTTCAACATCACCAGTTGGTCGTCGACATCAAAAATAGAAGAATCATCGACGGGAAAACCAATCTTGCATCTCAGTCTTTTGTACAAGCAACCAATCTGCCCACAATAAGAAGCATAGATGTGCAACAACCGTATCACAAGATCCTCGAAGAATACCCTGGTATCACAAGAATAACTTCAATGAAATTAACACCGAAGAACGACGTTGAGCATTTCATTGACACCAATGGACCACCACTTCATTGTCGTGCACGTCCAATCGCACCACACCTATACGAGCAAGTTCGAAAGGAATTCGAAAACATGATTGAGCAAGGAATATGCCGTCCAAGCAAAAGCCCTTGGTCATCACCACTTCACATTGTACCGAAGAAGAACGGAGAATTACGAGTTTGTGGAGATTACAGAAGACTGAATTCTATTACCACTCCTGACCGCTACCCAATACCGCGAGTCAGGGATTTCACTCATCAACTATCAGACAAGACTATATTCTCCACCATCGATCTCAACCGAGCTTACCAACAAATAAGAGTCCGCGATGAAGACATAGAGAAGACAGCAATAATTACCCCAATGGGATTATTCGAATTCCCAAGAATGATCCCAGGATTAAAGAACGGAGGTCAAACTTTCCAAAGATTCATACACGAAGTACTTCATGGACTGGATTTCGTTTTCGCATTTATTGATGATCTCCTTGTTGCAAGCCCTGATAAAGAAACGCACGAAACCCATCTACGCACCGTGCTACAGCGATTAGAAGACAACGGAATCACAATCAACCCTTCGAAATGCATATTTGGACAGCAAGAAGTTCAATTTCTTGG